CGTTGGGGGTGTTGGAGGGCTCCGGGGGTGTGAGCACGTGTCCCCTCGGCGCCCAAAAGACCCTCTGTGGTGGCACTTGATGGAGAGCAGAGCCCCTGGGGAACCGTGGGCTTTGAAACCCCCTAAAAATGTCACAGCTTGCCCCAAAGTGGCAGTTTTGGCCTCACAGAACCCCCTTCATCTTGCAGAACTTGGATTAACCACCGACCGTCCCCCTTTTAAGCCTCCTGAGATGCGAAAATAAGTGGGAATTTGAACCTCCTGAGTTTTCCCGGGTTGAAAAAATGAAGTTTTTGGGGAAAGTCGGGGTTTGTTGGAGCCGTGGCTTTCGTGGGACATCTCCTCTTCCCCCTCTTCTCCTCTTCCCACCCCCGTCTCTTTGTGGTTGGGTTTGGTTGATGGACTCGGGGGGTTCCCCACGGCACGTGGGGTTTTCCTGGTGTAATTCTGGGCGGAATCGGACGGATTTAGATGTGTTGTTTTTAACTCTTAAGGCCAGAAACCATCAGGAAAGGCTCGTGGTCTCGTTGGGACTCTCCTTGTCCTCCCCCCTGGGGGAGGTTGAGGAGGAGGAGGATGGAGCTGAGCACAACCCCTTCGAGGTGACGATTCCCCACTCCATCTTTCTGTATTTCCATTTTTGGGCTCTAACAGTAGCTTTTCCGTACCCATAAGATCCTTCAGTTGGCGCTGAACTTCTCACCCCGATGTTTATTGCTCTGATGGGGGTGGTTCTGGCGGGGATTGGTCCTCTCTTCTCGCTGCTGAGGTCAATGGTCTGCCCTTATTGTGGTTTCTTTGCGATCCAGGTGGATTTTTTTATTCCCAAACTGAGTGGGTTTTGGTTTCCTACATGTATTTCCACCACGTTCCCTTCTCCTCCTCCAGAAGCAGATCAAGGCACCTGGCCAGGCTGGAGGTGGGACCTGTGAGAACCTCCTGAGGTTCAATCAAGCCAAGAACAAGGTCCTGCCCATGGGTTGGGGCAATCCCAAGCCCAAGAGCAGCGCTGAGGAGAAGGACTTGGGGGTGTTGGTGGGAGAGAAGGTGGCCCAGAAAGCCACCAGCAACCTGGGCTGTGCCCCCCAGTAGCGGGGCCAGCGGGGAGAGGGACCTGGAGGTGGGACCCCTGAGAACCTCCTGAGGTTCAACCAGGCCAAGAGCAAGGTCCTGTCCATGGGGTTGGGGCAATCCCAGCCCAAATCCAGGCTGGGGGATGAAGGGCTGGAGCCCAGCCCTGAGGAGAAGGACTGTCCCCTGTCTCTGGGGCCATCAGAAGGACACGGAGGTGTCGGAGCGGGGCCAGAGGAGGCCCCGGAGATGCTGGGAGGGCTGGAGCCCCTCTGCTGGGAGGGGGGGCTGAGAGAGTTGGGGGGGTTCAGCCTGGAGAAGAGAAGCCTCCAGGGAGACCTTGGAGCCCCTTCCAGTCCTGGAAGAGGGTCAGGGGAGCCCTATGGGGCTGGGCCCCATCCCCATCCTCTACCTGAGCCCAGTCTCGGGGGGCAGCCAGGCCCTTTGGGGGGGCCTGTGGGACCAGGGGAGCCCTATGGGGCTGGGTCTGAGGTGTGAGGGGGACCATGGAGGGGCCTGGGGCTGGGCCCTGTCCCCGTCCCCTGAGCCCAGGGGGACGTGTGGGGCCAGGGGAGCCCTATAGGGCTGGACCACATCCCTGTCCCCTGCCCTAAGCCCAGTCTTGGGGGGCAGCCAAGCCCTTTGGGGGACTTGTGGGGCCAGGGGAGCCCTATGGGACTGGACCTCATCCCCGTCCCCTCCCTGGGCCCAGGCCCAGGGGCAGCCAGGCCCTTTGGGGAGCCTCTGGGGCCAGGGGAGCCCTATGGGGCTGGGTCTGAGGTGTGAGGGGGGGACCATGGAGGGACATGGGTCCTGGGCCCTGTTCCACACCCCAGGCCCAGGGCTGGGCCTAGGCCCAGGGGACAGCCAGGCCCCGTGGAGCCAGGGCAAGCCCCATGATGCTGAGCCCCGGGGGAGACCTGGGCCTGGCCCTGGGCCTTGTCCGGTCCCCGGGAGCCCCATCCTTGGCC